TTCCAGAAACATAGGCCCAACACAACCATGCAGTTGGTCGAAGAGGATAACTTCCCAATACTACTTTTTAACACAAAGCAATATTACAAATTTAATATCACATCTCACTTCTTGCTACCGCTCAACAATGATCTCAGGTCATCACATTTAGGGTTACAGCGACCTTTCGTCAACAGTGATTGACAAAAGACAGGACTAACTAGCTATAAGAAGTCGACATTAGCCAATCAAAAACACCTTTTGGAGTAAAACCGCATTAGTTCCAAACTGATTCCCATGCCAGTTCTCGATTCGAAATTCTAAAACGTAAGAAATAGAACTTTCGGAATGTCCTCAGTTTGTTGCCAAGCGCCAGAGAGAACTGAGATTACATTTTGGTGAGATTTGGAACAAGTCGAGCTGTATCAAGGGGTCTTAATATAATTGAGTCTGGGACCTACTGTTCACTGACTGATATCATGAGAAGGTAACTACACAGTTTGAGGTGCAGTGATATGCATGGATCAGTCAGTAAGAAGTCAGCCTTGTGATACAAAAAGAAGTGGAATGTCATCGATTCCGAAGCCCTCACTGCACTCAAGTCATCGTTACCATTAGTAGTATTTCAAATATTACATTTATCGTTTTATCTTCTTTATCGCTATCAAACTCTTGCCACCGTAACAGTCAATGGTAGGATAAGAATATATTGTTGTGATGTTTATAAGAAGTAATGTAGGTCAGGTCCATACTAACCTACACATATCAGCTAAAAATGCCGGGGTTATTAGATGTGATAAATACGAAGGATTTGACGAGTTCGCAAGTTCGTCTAAGGAAGGCATTTTGAAGGGGACATTGTACGCATCAAGACACTTCTGTGAGGCTACGAGCATAGACTGTGGATCAGTGCAGTTGACTTGCTGTGAGAGAGCGGTCACATCCAACGTCCCGTCATTACCTGGAATTCAATGAGATCACTAAACACGTATTAACTGATGTACTGGTATATCTTATGATGAAGCTTAAGTTCAATGGGCTCTTCACAAAATTATTTAAAACAGTCCGTCCAGCCAGGATCATTTGTCTTCGTTTATCACTGAAACATAGGCTTACATTAAACGATAACCTCTTACAGAATGAATAGATATATTAGTTCGACAGATTTGCAAACAGGATTCACACTTCGTAATTGCGCCGGATGTTGTGGAGACAACATCAAGTGAGTGAGTGAGTGGTTATTGCGTAATGGCTCATCAGCAATTGGCAACTATTTGCGGCGGACACCATCAAGACAAACATAATGCTTAGTTGGGTTCAAGTTTCCAGTAACGCCAACTGGGAAATATATTTTATTTTAAAAATGCTTCCAAATGTGAACAGTTCCGTGTTTCATGAATCATTCATTCATACGCAATCAAAATTCCAACCCGCCCACAAATTCCAGTACCCCTAATACCAAGTAGGTTGAGAATATTGACAATAGTTAAAATTCGGGAGAACTGATGAACCCATGTCAGATGAGTGTTTGGAACGAACATCCCGCAAGCCCGTTTTCCATTTCAAGAGGCGGATAGTTCAGCAACATACGGCAGCACGTAAAAATACTGACCTGAAACCAAAGAAAACAACGCGAACAGGTACAAGAGCCCCATGATTCCAACCGTTTCTGACATACATGTTCCTCTGCATGCTAAAGTGTTCATAAAATTATATACTAGACTTGACACACTCCCACATTGGTATCTATGTAGGTTGTAACACCTGGCTGATCACTCGAAACAAAAAAAGGATAACGGTATTGCGAAATATTCTTGAAAATATTCTTTATAGAACACTCGGATGGAAATTCCCAGATTACCCATTTTGACCCGTGCTGTATGTTGTTGAATGGATTTGTGTCGGATGCATCCACCATCATACATGCATACACACGCACGCACACACATATAAGATATCGATACAGATATGAAGAATAACAGACCATCTTCAGTCGGTAAGCTATGCCCGATCAATGTTACTAATTTCTGGAATGAGGCAAAATAAAAGTAAATAATTATCAAAAATACAGTACGTCTTATGTCATTTATGGCATCACATTGAAAGCAAGAAGTTGGCTGTTCCTTTTAATAATAAATGGACAGTAATTATTTATTTGAATGCTTTTTCACATTAACATACGAAAACATATTAAAATTTCAGTCTGACCTTTGTTTAACATTCACTTCAAATAATAAGACTGTTCCGCTCTCGACCCAGGTGGTAGTCACATGCACTTACACTCTCCCTGCATTCAAATCAAATCTCAAGACACAAGTGTTTGCATACATACATACATACATACACACACACACACACACACACACACACACACACACACACACACACACACACACACACACACACACACACACACACACACACACACACACACACACACACACACACACACACACACACACACACACACACACACACACACACACACACACACACACATACATACATACATACATACATATCATTTTGTATGATTTAGGAGAATAAAATCCTGAGTCCTGAGTCTGAGTCTGTAAGTGAAGCCTGGTATTCAGTCTGACTTGATCCGGGCTAATCAAATTAATAGCCAATCACGACTGTATGCAGCTTTCCTTATCGTCCTTTGTATAATTGCAATCAAGTAAGTGTTGTGTTTCAGTCAAACCCCAATACGACCAACTGCCCTCAGGAGCCCTGTCAGGAGCTTAAGTGGTATTGAACAGCGTTTCATTGATAACTTGTTTCATGGATGCGCATGTTATCACTGGGTTTTGGAAAGTAAGTAAGAAAATGAGACAAATTACCTAATCACGGTAACGCATGATCTCTGATAGTTATATGTTTTTTTATACAAACGTATAAAAACATTGCTTTTCACCAGGAAGAACATAACACTAAGTGGTCTAACTCAGGATCGAGAGAAGTTTGTTTGGCTGTGAAAACCTTGTCAGAAAGTGTCTGCTCGGAGATGTCCTTTCTCGATTCCAACAGTCTCAGATATTCCTGTTTTCCTAAACACCGGCAACAGAAGCAACAAAGAGAGCTGAGCTAGACGTTTTTCCTTCACAGTGTCCCATCTTCTGAACACTAGGCAGGCGCGTAGCAAGCCAGTTTTTTCGTGTAAGCCCGATAGGTTGCAAAGGTTTATGTAAGTATGTAAGTAAGTAAATATTGTATTTGCGTATCACGCATACATACATATAGACATACAAACAGGACAGATTAAAATATATACCACCTGGCCAGTAGGCCTATGGGACACGAGGTGTAATTAGTCTCATAAAATAAAATAATATTCCAATCATATCATGTTGTGATGTGAATGTATCTTTACAGACTGTGTGTAGTAAAAAAAAAAAAAGTGACAAGCGTCAGACAATGCAAGCTGAAACCTTTGAAACAGTAAGTATGTTGATATTGTATATACGGACAGACAGTCAAATGCGTGATCACACATCACACGGATGGTACACAATGATTTATAAAAATGTTCTGCTCTTCATTCTAATTTGTACATTATATAAGAATAAAGAAACATTCTTAATCATATCGACATTTGCAGATTGCATAATATGGATAAAGTGTTTTATTATATTGTATATACGTGTCACACAGTATACCGTCTTATGGACATGCAGGAAGGTCAAGCTAAATATATATATACCATTTATATTTAGATAGTATTGAGGGCTTGCCCAACCTTTTAGCAACAGTCATGTGTAAGCCCGGGCTTTATTTTATAATGGTAGCTACGCCCCTGTACGAACACCACAGTGAGGTTCAGTCTGAGTAAACTTGATTACATCAACGTTAGCTTGACGCCTACGACCCGGTGGACTTGTCCGAACTTACACATTTCCAGAATATCTAGTATAAGGGTAACGCTATTTTTCAGGGCATTATCATTTGCAGAAGCCCGAGGTCTTTCATTAACTGCTCGACAAAAGGAGGGCAGTTGAAAAGACCGAGGGCTTCTCAAAATCATGATGCCCTGAAAAATAGTGTTACCGTTATTATAGCTAAAATTCGATAGAATATTTAATAAATCAAAAACAAACAATGCTATCAGCTTTGAAGCATTTACTGCTAAAAACAAACGACGGTGGCCACTGACACACCTATGGAAACGTCATAGAACAAAACAGATGACCTCACTATTGACGACATTCGACACTGACCTTTGCCCACACTACCAGCCGCCTTTTTTTCCAAGGCTCAAGAACGTTAGAGTTCCAGTCGATGTTTTCAAGGTTGTATGTTGTAATTTAGGGTACGGTTGTTAAGGTTGGCACCGGCAAAAAAAGTGCATAATGAGTCAGAAATATCGTCAATATTGAACCCAAGTTCAAACGAGCCGTAGGTGATTGAACATCAAGAGCTACGCTCCTTATGACGTCACCTAACAACGGGCATGATAATGGCCCGTCGTCAACCAATTTGGGGGCATTATCAAGTTACAGTGACCCGCTCATTTCTGATAACATGCGGGCGTTTTAATGACAATTCTATCTATTTTAGCTATACATGTAATCACAAGTAAATACTATATTTCCACGGCGTTGACGTTGTTCACAGTTGTTTTTTGAAAGGCGATATTTACAGGTGAATGAGGTCCGGATCAAAACCTTGTGATGTTCCATCATTTGTGTCATTTGAAACAAATGCTCTAAATTTGGTGTGTAATTCATTACAATTACTGAAACTTGGCGTCAAGTGGATCGAAAGAGTCGCAACAGGCAATTCTCACATGTAGGCTCACTTCTGTTGGAAAATATCATACTTCTATATACACTGTCAGATAAACATAGAGTAACTTTTCATAAGCACATACTCTGCCAACATCATACAGCTACATTGTACAATCGACTCTGCTTTTGGCAGAGATTTCTTATCAATGTGGAAAGGGTTTTGTCGCCTCCATCTCTTTCTATATTCACTGTCAGATAAACATATTCCACAAAGAATGAAATAAAAACCTGACGTACATTTCATGTGTTTACTTGAATGTATATATTGTCTATCAACAGCAATACAATCGCGATTGTGTGACGATGTAGATTAGCCAATCAATGGTGACCCAGTGGCCTGTTTTAGACACATAGACGGGGATTGGCTAAGTAGGGCGTCCTTGAACATGCTGACGGTCGTCTTGCTGCAGCTGCTCACCGCTGACACCAGACAGTTCTGGGTGGCACTAGCGGCGCTGAAAATAAGCGTTTTGTATTTTTCAAAATCTATTAATTACCTATTGTGTTCAAACAATCGTCAAAATATGTAACAAAAGTGTTGATAACATGATTTTACACAAATGAACAAGTGAAAAGTCCCCTTTTCTTGAAAATGTTGATTTTGATGAGATTTCTTACAAGAATTAAAAAGGCATCGCCAGAACGCAACAGAAATCACCTTTCAGTTGAAATTGTGCAGCAAAGAGCCTGCACTGTATGGCTATAAAAATCCAGATTACTTTTGGAAATCGGCATCCGTTTTGAAGGAGTATCCAGGTCAGACCACTAAGCCAAATCTTGACGCTGCGACATGGAACATAGCCATTGAAAGACTGCACGCTGGAGATTACCAATTTTCTGTTGCCAGGCGTCTGAATGTTCGTCTGAGTACGATGTCACTGCTTGCAGCTCGTTACAACCAAACAGGTATAACAAATGACCGTCCCCGTACAGGCAGACCTCGAGTCACCACTGCAGCCCAAGATCGGTACAACTGGTAGCTACATTTGCTCGATCGTACGGCCACGTGTGAGAGCACAGCAACCAGAGTGCCTGGACTTCGAAGGTTATCCGGTCAAACTGTAGGGAACAGGCTGAGAGAGATTGAACTGAGAGCCAGGAGACCCGACATCGGGACCATGCTACGTGGTCACCATCGCAATCAGCGTCTTCGTTATCTAAACTTATCCATTTGGTTGTATGGACATTACCTTCTTCTAAACTGATGTAAAAATTCATTTCTTTAAGTCTATTTGTGGACGAGTTATACATGTTTGAAAATACAACATTTTCGCAACAGATTTCTGGGCATGCGTGTCTTTTTTGGAATAGTATATATTAAAGTATTTTCATGAAAACTCTTGAAATAATTAAATGTTTGGGGAATCCATCTTCAGACAATAACCAGTCTGTCTTGAGTACAGGCATATTCCACAGCTCACAAGGCAAAAGTAAAACTGATTTGAAATGATTATATAGAATCAGAGATGACACCAGAAGATCAGATAAGAAGACGCACATCCTGCTCAACCATTAGAACACGTTTCGCAGGCGGTGGGCTATCTCCTCTGCACACACATTTCCAAAAGGCTCAAATATTGTTTCCTCGTGGTTATAGTAAGCGAGTGAGTTTAGTTTTACGCCGCTTTTAGCAATAATCCAGCAATATCACGGGCTTCACAGAAATGGGCTTCACACATTGTACTCGTGTGGGGAATCGAACGTGGGTCTTCGGTGTGACAAGCGAACGCTTTAACCACCAGGCTTCCCCACCGCCCCTCGTGGTTAGAATATACACTGTCTCATTTAGGCTTTTAAAAATGAGAAATGTTTGGAATATCTAAAGGACACCGGGTTGGCACTTGGCATAGCTTTGCGCGTTTTTGTGACGGGTGCCACCGTGGGACAATTTCTCATTTGAGCATGATCAGGTTTCCCTCCATCATCCTGTGATATCCTTTCGGAATATCAAGTCCGCCCTTTACTTGATTGTTAAAAAGGTGGTGTCTTGTACATTCTATGCAGATTCTCATGTGTATGTTAGTAACTTATTTACCTGTTATCAACCTCAATACACCATCAATTTCACAAAAAGCAACACCCGTAAATATTCCCGACCTTCTTGTACAGAAACAATCGACTTACGCGCACAGATGTTTGGGATCCAAAGCGGGGCGTCTACTGCGGCAGGTTCCTTTGGGTGTATTTTGAACGCACTTGGTGTCGAAATCTAATAACAGAAAACCATAAGAATGATTCATTGTATCAGCCTAAATGCAAAACCATTAAACTAATTAGAATACAAAATATAAACGTCAGTAGTTTTCGTTTTTACTTCTAAACCTGGTCGTTTAAACTAACTTGGACATGCATCCCATATACATATTTCATATATCGCCACCGGTTTAACCTCTGCACACGTGGAATTAGTCGTATGGTTGTTGTTTTTATATTTTGCGTATCATTGCTCCCCTTAAAAAGACATACACGTGGAGACAACGAACTCATGCTGAACTACTCACCCCCGATATGACCACAGAGTTTGGCCAAGCCGTCCTGCACTGTCTTGGAGTCGGCCACCGTGGGCTTCATCGCGTCATCACTGCATTGCTTCTGTACCTGCAGAGTACAGTTCACTGCCTGTTGGTAGTCCTTCAGATTACTGTACGACATAAAACGTTACATCTGTGTCACAATGTGTTCATACTGTAACAAATATATATTCTATGTATGTAGCACTGGCTATTAAGTCACGCTTTCCCTCATTCTGAGATAAGTTCTTTTGAAATATTTTGCAGTTTGTGTTTCATTCTATGTGCACTTTTCGAAAATCATTGGATATCAGTCACATGAAGCTAGTGTAAGAATACTCATAGCTGGTTGTGTCATAACATGGTCGTTCACTTGCTTATTCTGTGACACAGCCTTTGTAATTGTTGGCATGCTTGCATCAGTTATACACACAGAGAAATATTGAATACCGGTATTGAAAATGAAAGCATGTTACTGGTTGATAAAAGATACATAATATTATATATGTTTGTCTCTTTAGGAAAGATTAATAACATGTTTTGGAGACTTTATTATCTATGTTCAGCTACATTTCTGTACACATTTGGAAATTCGCTTCCTTTGCCAGCTGTCTAACAATGATCCACATTCATGGCACAGTGACTGTGGTGACTGAAGCAATATCATGAAGGTGTAGTGGATAATGATGAAACTGTCTAAAGACGCCAGACAGACAACCTTGCAATACCATGTATTGTCACAAAACATCGATACTTCTTGTGACTTCCATTATATATATTGCACATTTGCAATTTCCAGTTCTTTTAATACCTGACGTTCTCTGTTTGTATGGAACATAGTCACTTGTTACAACAGGATCACAGGGAGACAGTATGGGATTACTAAAAAAAAATAATTAAATAATATATACCTGCACATATTGTCATCCATTGTAATAGCGCGCATAATGTGCTGGCTAGTGTCTTCACTGGTTAGGTTTTCCGGGAATTGGAACGGTATCCCGTTGTAGATAAAGCATTGATGGTAGCTACTTCGGATGTTGTCAGTGGTGGAACAGTCCACGGTGGGTGTGTCGAAGCTGTTGGGTGTTAGGCCTAACGAAAGTCAACACATGAGTGTTAAAGTCGTAGGAACATGAAGTTTGGAATACAATGGTGCATGCCTATGGATTTATTTACATTCCTTATCGGTGGTTGTGTCTAGGCTGTTGGGTGGTAGGCCTAACGAAAGTCAACATCAAATGAATGTTAAAGTCGTAGGAACATGAAGACTGGAATACTGTGGTACATACCTATAGATCTATTTACATTTATTGTCGGTTCCTGTGACAGGTGTGGGTTGCTGATCTTAACGGGCATTATAGAATATTTTTGGTGTAACACGATAACGAAATAAAGCTAATGCAATACATAAGTAGCATGTTTTCAAACCAAACATAACTTAAAAGATAATGACTTGAAGTTTTGATAAATGTTTGCATGTATAATGTTCTGACGGTAGCAAACCTTATGAGTATGACTGTGGATAGTGTCAGGTTGTGGCTGAAGGTCGTGACATTGTGTACCTGTTCCTGCATTCACCTGTTTAATTATTTTACAATATAAAACAGACTTAAAGTAAAGTAGGCAAAAACCCTTGAAACACCACTACATAGACTGCTATTAATCACACATGTTGTGACAAGCCAAAAGAAACAGACGTACATTCTGTGTTGTTTGGCTGGTATGCATTGAAGATGTGGAGTGCGACCTGGCCACAAGCTGGCAGGTACTTCCGGACACAGATCGATGACATCTTTTCTGTCCTGACATTAATACGGACATGCTCAGTTTTTATAACTTTTGTTATATGTTGATGGTGAAGAAAAAAAATTCATATTTCTCAAGCCAGGAATATTTGGGAAAGGTAATATCTTAAGAACGTGTTCATAGATTTTAGCATGCCATTCTAAATATCATATAAGTTTCTTTGGGGAAAATGATTAAAACGACCCAACAACCATCATTATATGGTTGATGTGAATTGCAGAGACGATTTTCAAGACCGAACCCTTTAAAGACATCGGTCGTCATGAGACACATCTACGCACGCACACGAGTTCAAAAGATTTTAAATCAGGAATACTCACATGCAAGTTGCCTTGTGGTTAAACTCTGCAAAGTTGAGTTTATTAAAATCGCTGGTAGTCAAGTAGTTGTAGGTAGAGCTGCAGTCCCCAATTTTAGACACCATTTCGAACATGCAGGTTATGTTGAATTCTTCAGGAACAAAGACGTAATGTTTGAATACAGAATATCGGTGCAAGTGAATGCACAAACCAAGGGTTACAATAATAGTACCAGAAATGTATTCCTTCGGTGACTTTTGTACAACTGGCAAACGTATCATTTATCTGAGCATCTAAGGCAGACACCAAATAGACAGGTATTTACTATTGAAGTAATATCTTGAAACCTCATATCTACAAGTACTGCTAGTGTCCATCACAAATATGTCGATTTAGCTGCAGCAGGGAGTGATTTGATAACACAAAACCAAATGGAATCAAACTTTTTTATCCAGTTAACGAAGGTTGACTTGTCGCGTTTCATCAATGAATATGAATATTTTTCAAAAAATTACGCGGTGACATAGTTTCTGTACTGTAGTTTTTCCGTGGAAAAAAACAAATAACGAAACCTATCCTATATTGATAACTGATTCTGATTTCAAATCTAGCTCTACAGGCTATACAGCTAAAACAAACTGCTCACATCTTTTGCAGACATACTTTGAAAAAAAATAGAAACACTGTCATTTGGGGGGATTGAATGTATCCTTTGTGGCTTAAGATTTGTCTTGACAACATCACTAGTTTTGACATAGCAAAGCAATATACATATGATGACAATACCATTGCAAGATTACTTTCATCCTTGTCGTGTCCTTAAAATCCCGAATTCATTTGCAGTCATCTTTTGTACCTGATTCCAGAGTCATTGTATTTGTCAAAGATATATCCACGCCAAACACCAATATCCCACACAACAAACGTCATTTATATAACAGTGGGGCATTTGTGACGAGACGTTATTATCTTCAAAGGTTCAGGGCATTTTGTCAAAGATGTAAGCAAGCATGGCACCTGAATCTTACTTAGGAAACATTATGTACACATGCATAATAAGAAATGGCTTTGAAAGTATATTTTAAGTAAAGTTCCGAGATATCGCATTATATTAACATTATATAACATCTACATCTATTTAGTTTTCTTATTTTGAATGTTCAAATTACGAAAAACGTACCATATATGAATTAGGAAGTCTTACATCAACAGTTTTTAAATGAAACCCGATTAAGCATGCGGAAAAATCATTTGAGAATCAAAGAGGTACATAAATATATACTCTGTACTCACTGTCCAAGTTGGCGCAGACATATTCTTGTATTTTCTTATAGTCCGCTCGTGTTAGAGGCGTACTGGTGTTACATTTAGCTAGTATAGTTTCCGTACACACTTGCGTCTTCTCGTAAGCATCAACATTCCTGGAACAGGTTTTGTTAACTAGCAATGCTGTACCATGGACAATATGAACACTATGTACAGGTATCGTGCATGTACTGTTTTGCTACAACCTTATCTATACTGAACATCATTGAAAACGCACCACCTGTATTAGATGGGATTTCTAAGAGCATAAATGAGCAATCGGTGTAAATTTTACATACTTTTGTAGACCAATGATTGGTAAAAAAAAAAAGAAACAAGAACCTATGCAGCAAAACAGTGAAGTTTTAATTCAGCTGACCATGAAAGAAAGAGGGAGTCAAATTGGAAAGTCAGTAACGTGTATGACCACCGTTAGCAGCAACACAAGCTGTGTAACGTCTCCTCATTGAACTGATAAGTCTCTGAATAATGTTTTGAGGCATTCTTGTTGCCAGGCATTCTCAAGTTCCCCAAGGTTGTTGATCTGTGGGCGACGTGAGAGGCGTTGGCTGATGTAATCCCACAAGAGATCAATGGGAGACAAATCTGGTGACAATGCAGGCCATGGATGTAGAGGAATGTTGTTGTTTACCAGAAACTGTGTTGCAACACGTGCAGTGTGCGCTCGAGCATTGTCCTGCTGGAATGTGTGCAGATCTTGATGTTGGTTAAAGAAGGGGAACGACGTTGTTCTGAAGAATGGTGTCACGGTAGTAAAGGGCATTCACTCTGCCACGACAAACTACCAGAGCGGCATTGTGATGATAACTGATCCCTCCTCACATCATAATGCTGCCTCCACCCCACCGATCTGTTTGCACAACACAGTCCTGATGGATACGTTCTCCCCGTCGACGCCATACCCGTAGACGCCCGTCAGCATTTCGCAAGTGAAAACGTGACTCGTCGAAGAACACAACACCATGCCAACGTCGTAACAACCACAAACGATGCCCATCGTTGGCGTTCACGGCGATGTCTATCAGTCAGGATGTGTCCAACATAAGGGCGTCGACACCGTAATCCTGCCGCACGGAGACGGCGTCGGCCGGTGGAAGCACTGATCAAACCACGTCGATCTTGGACAGCGTTGGCGGTTCTGGCAGCCGGCAACGTACGATCCCGAATATGGCGCCGAACAATGTCTCGATCTTGGCGAGGGGTGGTAACGCGTGCCTGGCCAGGACGTTGGCGATCCCTGGTGGTTCCTGTTTGTTGGTACCTGTTGGCAAGTCTTATGATGGTGGAATGACGGCATCCAAATCGTCTGGCAATAATCCTGCTTGATGTGCCAACTTGCAACATGCCCAACGCCCGTTCTCGTTCCTCTGGTGACAATCATGGCATTGCAAAATAAACTTTACTTGTACAGCTAAAATGAGAATGATTTTTTGCCGACGGTCATTTATACCCCTAATCAGTATGTTTTATGCATGCAATTTGTGTTTTTCGTGTGTGTTGTGCATGAATTTTGTTGTTGTCATGTGATGTGTTCCATGATGTTGTTACGGTTAAATATTTGCCGTGACAAAAGGTTTAAGAATCCCCTTTGAACCAGCAAAATATAACACAGACAAGTCTAAAATGTTCAATAATATAATGAGCAAACAATGAGCAAGCTACATTCTACCATGGATACGTGAAATGCTCGAATTCGATTTCACGGCGCCTTACTGCGCACGTATACAACACTGCCGCACTACTTCAGCTTGGCCACCAACATGACTAATATCAACACAACAGACGTGATGGAAATGCTGATGAAACATTTATTAAAACTCGAAAAATACAATTATACGATTTCTCCTCCACAATTGTTAGGGAACCTCACTATCATAATTAGTACCTTTTATTATATAAATATTCAAACTCAATTACAATACACAGCCCCAAACATAAACAAACAATATCTAACATATAAATCAGGAAAACCTTGTAAAAATACATCCCTATCTATCACTATTTGTGCGGCAAAACATTCGAAAACATTTACCTACCTGGTAAATGGTATATTTGTTTCCTATTAGAATGAGAAAAAAAAATTGCAAGATAACGGTCAGGTGAAACACAAAATTTAGGCCACTCATACTCCATCATGTCCCGTTGCATCGTTCAAAATGTCAAAAATTTAACCACGAGAATTCCACTCGAGGCTGTCACTGCTATGTTCGTACACTTTGAAAAGCTTGGCCACAATCCAGTCCCAAATGATGAAAACAATGTTCCAAGGAATCCCAAGTTAGTCGCATGTACACAAAGCAGCACTGTCACTCTTTCGTTGCATGCGTGGGTGGAGGCACGTACGTGAAATCATGATCAACACTCGCCGGTCATAAAAATTAACAGTCTTTGATGAGTTACAGGTCATAGGTCGATCAGAAAAGGATGTATTCTTGGATTCTGCAGGGGCCAGGTTCGAAAGTCAGTCAACTATTTTCCACTGTCACTTCGAATTTCAACCTTTCGTAAAATGTAAACACTGGCTCGTCCACCATTTCAAACTGTTGCGTAAATGTCTACTTCCAAGAAAATAAGTAGGTCAGACGATTCCATTATAGTGTGGTCAGGGGGGGTACAGTAACACGGCACACAAAACAATAGGCTGGTTTCGGTCGTGTGGAGTTATGATTATAAAAACCCAGCCCTTATGTGTTACATTATTGCATTGAATAAACAGTAGTTTGTTTTCTTTGGACAGAATATTTTTTATGTTGCAATGTTAACAAAAGTACGATCGGCACCCACTACTCCCTTCACAGACGAGTTCAATTCGCCTCTCGTCCCATGCCGGATTACGCTGTGTCTTCCGCAGAAGTTCGATGTTCAATCGGTTATGGTAGAATGGAGATAACCATACTGTTTTTGGAAATTAGATGAATGTTAGACCGAATTGATAGTCTCTAAATTTCATTTGAGGCTGAACGCGTAGCATGAGGTTTCAAATGATTAATTTTGAGACTATCAATTTGGTCTAATATTCATCTAATTTCCAAACATAGTACGTTTATATCCCAAATGAATCACAATACAGATTTCTAATACAATGCAATTGAGTCACAAATCTAAAGTTATGGGTCACATATATAAAATATTAACTCACCAGAGTCTTGGTAATCACAGTGAGATCAGATTTTTATAAATGGAGCTTGTTTACAAATGAAAGGAGTCAGGCACGAAGTGTCAGGGTCAGACGATGGCGATGTGACCAAGGACGAAGCCGAGGCAAACAACGATGGGCAACTCCAGTGATATCGAAAGTCCCGTGTAATTCCGTGTGTTTGTCCGTGTGTCAGTCCTTGCGTGTCGCACAACACAACAGCCAGCCTTTATATATACTGACACAGATTCTCGAACTTTCCAGCAAAGCATGGCTGTATCATTAACCACTTAGATCTTTTTCGAAACGTGTTGAACATACGACATGACGATGTCAACACATAAACATCCGGTCAAGGGAGGTAATTCTGGAGAGCTATCATAAAGGCGTGCCGCAAAAATACTGTTGCCACTGAACATATATGACTCAAAATGTAACCCACAACCAAAACTCAAACTTTAAACATTGTGCCTCATAATTATTATCACCTAACCAATGTAATTACAAATTACAAAAACACACTCTTGTAACAATGTCTTTTGTGTTATTATCAACATTTCCAACGTTCATTTTCACTCTCAAAACAATCCTATTACCATATTTCAAAATTTACAGGTGGTGCGTTTCCAATGATGTTCAGTATATTTGATGATGCGGAATTCCAGAGACAACACAATCATTGTTCCAGACTACACCTTGCTTTGACTAAGTTCTCGATTCGAAAATTCTAAAAGGTAAACATCTGTCTATGCATTGTTGGATGCGGTGGTTTGCATGAAAAACAGCAGTCAGCAGACTGAAAAGGTCAGTCTTGTGATACCGATAGAAGTGGAATACTGTCCATTGGAAAGCACTTGCTGCAATCAAGTCATCGTTACAATTGTTTTCATCGTTTATCTATTTTATCTGGAAAAGTACTAATGTAAGTAAAGTCCATACTAACCTGCATATATCGGCTAAATATGCCGGGGTTATCAGTTTAGGCAAAACGGAAAAGTTGGCAATGGAAGGCAATTTGAGAGGGATATTGTACTCATCAAGACACTTCTGTCCAGATACGAGTATAGACTGTGGATCAGTACAGTTGACTTGCTGTGAGAGAGCGGTCATATCCAACGTCCCATCATTACCTGGAATAATTTCAAAGAGTTATCTAAAGACGTATTTACTGATGTACTGGTATGTATTATGATGAAGTCCTATAATTTGTCTTCGTTTATAACCGAAAAGTAGGCTTACTTTTTAAAAAAAATACTTTCACAGATTGAAAAAGGTATATTAGTTTTTGAGCGATCTGCAAATTGGAATCACAGTTTCTCATTGCACCGGAAGTCGTGGAGACATCATCAACTGAGTGAGTGAGTGAGTGAGTGAGTGGGTGAGTGAGTGAGTGTATATGGCTTAATGTTTGCAATACACACCATCAATGCAAACATAATGTTTATTTGGATTCCACTTTTGCTGTATAACCCTAGATGGGAAATATGTTTTTTTCAAACTCGCCCACAAACTTCCGTAGAAGTAGCCCTAGTACTCGGTAGGTTGCATATGGAAAAGTTAGATTCGGGATAGTTGATGAACCCAAGTCAGATGAATTTTACATTTCAAGAGACGGATATATAAGTGACGGCAGCACTTACCTGAAATCAAAGAAAACAACGCGAACAGATACAAGAGTCCCATCGTTCCAACCGTTTCTTGGCAAAGATTCACGTTCCTCTGCGTAATTACAGTGCTGAATTATATACTGGGCTTGATACACTCCCACATTGTTATCTGTGCAGAATGTAACATCTGGCTGATTACACAAAATCATAACAGATAACGGCAAAGCTAAATAGTGTTAAAATAATTTTTTTATGATATATGCGGATAGCAGTTTTTAGATTACCTATTCTGGCTCTATGTTGACTTATCTTTGAATATATTTCCATCACACATACACACACGCACGCGCGCAAGCACGCACGCACATATCTTAAGTCGGTAAGCCTTGCCTGATTCATAAATCAGAAGTATTTTAAGCACACATATTGCTGTAAGTAAAGCCCAGTGTTAAGTCTGACTTGACTCGGGCTAATTAGTTTAATAGACAATTATAACTATATGCAGCTTGCCTAAATTGCCCTTGTGTAATTGCAATCAGTGTTTCAGTCAACACTACCAACTGCCTGTCGGGAGATTAAGTGGTATTGAACAGCATACAGTTTCATCGATAACTTGTTACACGGATACGCAACAGTGTCCTACCTTCTTAACATTAAGGTATGAACACCACAGAGAGGTTCAGCTTCAGTAATCTCGATTACATCAACGTTAGCTGGACGCCATCGTCCCAGTGGAGTTGTCCGAATTTACACATTTCTAGATGGTCTAGTCACAAGTAAATGCTATATTTCCACGGTTTTGACGTTGTTAACAGTTGTTTTTCCAAAGACGATATATACAGGTGAATGAGGTCCGGGTCAAACGTTATGATGTTCCATCATTTGTGTAATTTGAAACAAATGCTCTAAATTTGGTGCGTAATGCATTCCCATTACCTGGCATCCACACATGTAGGTTCACTTCATGCATCAGCGAAAAGAAATGATGTCCGATACTGGGGGTGTAACGATGCATCGAACTATCGATTGATTGCGATTGTGAGCCCCCAGATAATACTTTATCGATAGGTGTATGAAATGACGATCCAATACATTGATAGTTGCATCAACTATCAATACTATCGCTTTAATTTGTTTTATAAATAACGGTACTTGAAAACATGTTCTGTCCTACAGTCCTATCCCCGATTCAGATTAATCTCTATTTGCTGTAAGCGACAGCATTTTGCAGTGATAGTTCACACACACACGCACACGCACACGCACAAACGCACATGCACACACACACACACACACACACACACACACCCTCCCTTACCAAAATGGCAGCTCACGCGAACAGCGGGGATTTTGCGAAATTTCAAATTGTAAACAATACAGCTGCAGCTGTATGGGAACACTTTGGGTAAAAACAGATAAAGTGGACAAGAAGCGAGTTGCATGTTGGAAGTGTAAGCTGATATTGAAGTATTGTGGAAATACAACAAATTTGACTGATCATGTGCGTCGGAGGCACGGTCTTGATGCGCTTGCCCCAACCAAGGGTAGGCCTAAGAGACAAACAACCCTGACAGTGATAAATGACAACACTACTCTACTTCCGTCTTTAAAACGAGCAAGAGACATTTCGGCAGCCAATCTTGAACTTATTGTGAAAGATTTGCGACCAGCCAGTGTTGTCCAAAATGATTGGTTTAGGAACATGTTGAGTGTTTTGGAACCACGTTACACATTCTCCGATTCAGCCTCGCCCTGTGCCCTCTGAGAGGGTCTTTTCCACAGACATCATTAAATCTGCACATGTGGACAGACTCTTGTTTCTAAAGAAGAATTGGAAAGTTGGACAAATTATTATATGCCTTCATCACACTATTTGAGTAAAATGAGAGTTCTTGTGAAATATTGCCATTTCCCAATTATGTTAACTTTCAACTTGAATCACCGAGTTATCTGATGACAGGTGTATTTGTGAGATTACTTGATACTTTCATAGTGACAAAAGATTTTGTCCTTTTTAAATCTAGTGTGTCTGTTGACTGTTCAGTGCATTGGATATATCTTCATGTTGTTAAAACTAAAAAAAATATCTACCCGTGAACTGTTTTATTTTCAACCTTTACACACAGTAACTGTTTTCTATTGAAACTGAAAGGTGACCATTTGTCACAAATGTGAAGAGCCACAGAGCCAGTATTTATTGTTTAATTTGTATGTTATTTTACATATAAAGTTGTTGGGATCAAAGAGTCTGCAAACCACAGTTTTGTAATAAATAGTATCAAATCCTGTGTGAATGTGTTAGCTTGTTGTCGAATTGTTTTAATACTAAATCATGTTCACTAAGAAGTCATCATGACAGCTTGACAGGTACTGACCTGAAAGTTATAAGGAATAAACTACTGAACACATTTTATGGTTTAAGTAGCTTAATGTAAAAGAATTTGGTAGAAAATGGCAATATATCTGAAATTTGAATTTCGTCTGAACTATTGCCATAGCTATCGCAATAGTAGCTTGCAATAGTCTATCGACATCGCAATAGTAACATGCAATAGTCTATCGACATCGCAATAGTAACATGCAATAGTCTATCGGGATCGCAATAGTTCCTTAGACCCCAATAGTCACCCCTATCCGATACAATTCCCGATACGTTCCCGAAATATTTCAGGTGAACAAATATCCAGACTTAGCATATGTATATGACGGGTGCCACCCTGTGGGGAAGGATAGGCTCTCCCTTTCGCGAACACCAGGTATCATCACTATTTCATAGAGATTCATACACACATGCTCTGTCATCGTATCCCACGGTGACTGTCACTGGATTGTCAGGTTCAGACCCGATTTGCATACAAACAACATCGCACAGATGTATTTCTGCTGAAACAAATATCTGCTCATGATATTGTCACAACTGTACAATGACATTTCTTATGAATGTGGAAAGGGTTTTGTCGCTTCTATCTCTTTCTATATACACTGTCAGATAAACATAGAGTAACATTTTAAATAACTATACAAACCAGGAAAGAATGGAACACAACCCTGACATACATTTCATGTGTTTACTTGGATGTATTTATTGTCACTCTACAGCAATACAATCGCGATTGTGTGACGATGTAGATTAGCCAATCAATGGTGACCCAGTGGCCTGTTTTAGACACATAGACGGGGATTGGCTAAGTAGGACGTCCTTGAACATGCTGACGGTCGTCTTGCTGCAGCTGCTCACGGTTGACACCAGACAGTTCTGGGTGGCACTAGCGGCACTGAAAACAAGCATACACACTTATAGAACTACAACATTCAATTCTGAGTGACAATAATAAATTAAAGCATTTTAGTGACTCTTGAAATCAATAAATGCTTAGGGAATCCTTCTTCAGACAATAACCAGTCTGTCTTGAGTACTGACATATTCCACAGCGTATAAGGCAAAAGTAAAACTGATTTGAAATGATTATATAGAATCAGAGATGGCACCAGATGCTCGGAGATGAAGACGCACATATTGCGCCAACACCAGAACACGTTTCAAGGTAGCGGTCTATCTCTTCTGCGCGAACTTTTCCCAAAGCCTCATATATTGTTTCCACGTGGTTAGAATATTAGCGGCCTCAGTAAAGATTTCAAAAATGAGATATGTTAGGGATATTTATAAAACAACAGGCGGACACTTGACATGCCTTTGCACGCGTCTGTGAGGTGTGCCACAGTGGGACTTTTTTTCTGATTTGAGCCTGATCAAGTTTCCTTCTATCATTCTGTGATATCCTTTCGGAATATCAAGTCTGCTCTTTACTTGGTTGTGAATAAGATGGTGTCTAGTACATTCTATGCAGCTTCTCGTGTGTATGTTACTCATACACCTCATTTACTCATTTACCTGTTATCAACCTCAATACACCATCCATTTGACAAAAAGCATATCTCGCCTGCGTCTCAGTACTCCCTTAGTAAAGACATACACGTGTAGACAACGAACTCATGCTGAACTTCTCACCCCCGATATGACCACAGAGTTTGGCCAAGCCATCCTGCATTGTCTGGGAGTCGGCCACCCTGGGCTTCATGGCGTCATCACTGCATTGCGTCTGTACATGCAGAGTACAGTCCACTGCCTGCTGGTAGGCCTTCAGATTACTGTATGACATAGAAGGTTACGTCTGTTCGACAATGTGTTCATATTGTGATAAATATGTATTCTATGTATGTAACACTCACTATGATGTCATGCTTTCCCTCATTTTGAGAGGAGCTCTTTTAAAATAATTTTCATTGTAGTTAATGTTTTATTTTATAAGCAATGTTAGAAAATCATTGGATATCAGTCACATACAGCTAGTGTAAACATACCCTTAACTGTTTGTGTCATTAGAAGGTTGTTCACATGCTTTATTCGTGACATAACCTCTGGAATTGTTAAAATGCTTGCATCAGTTATAAACACAGAGAAATACTGAATGTTGAAAATGAAAGTATGGGGACTCACAGGGTTATAAAAAGCATAAAACGTTTGTACATTTGTTGAAAGAAGTATGAAACATTGTGATCACAAACAGTTGACAATTGGTGTCACTGGTTAAGAAAGACACAAATATATATTTGTCTCTCTGGGTGAAATTAATAACTAGCTTAATGGCTAATTTGGAAATTAGCTTCATTTACCAGCTTGCTAACAACAATCATGGTGCACTATCTGGTGGCGACTGAAGCAATGTCAGTGTAATAGATAATGATGAAACTGTCAACAGACGCCAGGGGGACAACCTTACAATATCATGTATTGTCAGAAAATGTCGAGATTTCTTATGACTAAGGAAAGGATTTTCTGACTTCCATTATTCAGATTGCACATTTACAATTACCAGGGTTTATGATACAGGGCGTTTGTCACTAAAGGGTCACGAGGTGACAGGTGACGTGAAATTGGGTGTAACGTCGTGCTTGAGAATATTTCGCTCATATCACGACATGCATGCGTGTGTATGTGTATGTGCGGCTGCTTGTACTAGCCCAGACTTAAGCTGTTTTTATAGCGCTAGCCCACTGAGATACCATGCCGCATACCATACCATACCCCACTCAGACACATTATACTGACTCCGAGCCGACCAGTCCTTGTTGTACCCATTAATGCCGA